TCCACCCCCGGGGCCCTGCCACCGAGGACCTTTTTAACCACCTCGGCGACCTCGCCCACAATATCTCTTCCTATTACTAAATGGGAGGAGGATTTATCAGTCAGTTTTGAACAAAACATCTGCGCTCAGATATGTCTAAGAACTTTTAACATGACTAAAAACCCCAATTTACAATTAATACAATACAAAATCCTCCACAGAGTGCACTATACAGGTCAAAGATTATTCAAGATGGGGTTTGCGCAATCTAACATCTGTCCACAGTGCACAGGCAATCAACTTGATAATTATTTTCAAGCGTTATGGTTATGCACACCGGTTCAGAGATTCTGGGTACAGGTATGTAAGGATCTATCACTGTGCCTGGGTTGTAAAATCCCACTTTCCCCTTCAGTTTGCTTGCTGGGTGACTTTGAGGGAAGCTCTATGGAAAAAAAATCAGTTTGCATGGCCTGCACTGCATTATGTATCGCAAAGAAAACTATCCTCATGAATTGGAAAAGTAAGGATAACCTCAACATCAATCAGTACAGAGATCTGTTGTTGAATCATATTAATCTTGAGACAGTATCTGCATCCTCATCAGACCGATCTCTCTGGGCTTCCTTGATCAGTTCCATCACTTAGTGTAGTGTGGGGCTGTGGGGTGCGTCCTATGGGGTGCGGGGGCTGGTTCGGGGTTCCTTGGGCCCTGGGAGGCTCGGGGGGGCGCTCGGAGTGGGGTGCCTGGTGGGTCTAGCCCTGGGGTCGGTTGCCCCCATCGAGGTGGGGCCTGGGGGTCCTACGGTGGCCGTGTGCGGTGCTCTTGGGGGATTCCGTGGTGGCGGACATGGGCTACTGGCCTGGTAGCTGTGCTGCTGCTGGGTGGGGCTGGGCGCCGGGCATTGGTTCTTCTGTGGTGCCGGCCGGGGGGCTTCTGTTCTGCAGGGCGTCGGGGCGTGCCTCGACTTTCGGTGGCGGGTTTTGGTGGTTGGCCGTGGCGCCTGGCGTGGTTGCATCCGGGGGGTGCAGGGGTGGTCGCGCCTGTGGCCGGGGTTCATGTGTGTCTGTTGTGGGCTGGTTGTGGGCTTCGGGGAGCCCCTTTGGGATGCCCCCCGGGTCGGTGGTGTGGCTTCGCTTTGTTGGGGCGGGCGCCGGTGGTGCGCCGTGCATCATGCACGGGGTTTGGGAGTGGAGGGTTGCTTGGTGTTTGGTGGTGGCGGGGGGGGGCCGTCCTCCTCTCGGCAGCCCGTGGGCGGTGCGTGGCCGGAGCGGGGTGGGTCGTGCGGCTTTCGCGGCGGGAGCAGCAGGGTCGCGTCTGTTGCTTCCTTTTTGCTGCTTGTACCGGCTTCTGGTGTGCAGCTGGGGTGGCTTTGCTGCTCTGAGGTTGCCGGGATGGAGTGGTTTCGTTGTGTTTTTGGGTGGGGGATTCCGCCCGGGGGCTCGGTTGGTGCTGTCGGTTCGTCCGTATCGGCCTTCCGGTGTTGTTTCTGTCGGGCCGCTCGGGCCCCCGCGTGCGGGCGGTGCGCTGTCGGTAGGGTTTCCGTTCGGCGGGCTTGTTGCCTCCTAGGAGGGCAGGCATGTTGATTTTTCTGGGGGGGAGCGTCTGGGTGGAGGGGTCCTCGCGGTGTGGAGGTGGGTGTTGGACGCTGGCTTGTCTTTGGCAGTTCTTCTTAAACCAGGGGGAATTTTATTTTTTTTTTATTATTATTTTTTATTTTTTTTGTGTGTGCGTAGGAGGGGGGTGTGAGCGGGGGAATCAGAGCTTGGAATGGAACTTGGGATCTGTGCTTTGCTGTGTTGTGTGGCTTTCTTCTTCTTCGGATTGGTGTTGTAGGACCGCGTCGGGGGGGGT